CACCTAAATGTTTGGCAATTTTTCGAAATAAATAGGCCTTCTAAATCTTTTTTTCAATTATTTTCCAGCGAAGCTGCTATCATTTTTCTGTATTCCCATATTCATCCGCATAATATTTATATTAGTAACTTGATTTTAAATCACGTAGGTTATCGATTTTATTGAATCTATTATAAACTTAATCGGATCGGCCCGAACATCGTTCGGTCACTTTTTATCAGGTGTTCCAGAAATTATGAAAATAGCAGTAGAAGTTTTCAAATTTTGACCCGGCCGGGTTATGAAAACCAATTAATTAATTTTGCATTGCCTAATATAACATTTCTCTCTATTTTGATAAATATAGTAATTAGAATAAAAATTATAAATAGTTTGTTGTCTAACAAAACTATACTTAAAATATATATTTAATATAGTTTTAATTTCGATCTCTGTTTTTTCTATTCTAGATTACTTTCTACTCATATTGTACTCACAATTGGTAATACAACTCTCTTTTTTTTGCTTTAATAAAAATTGCCTTATCTATGAAGTTCTTAATCAAAGATTATCAAAACATTTGCCATATATACTCTTTTTTAGCAAAATTTATATAAGCAAATTTGAAAAAAAGTTTTCTCATTTTTAAATAATAGTTAAATCTATTTGAATTGTAATAAATAAATAGTAAATAGTAATAGTAATAGTAAATAGTATATTACAAAGAAAATTTCTATTTGTACACAGAGTGTATATATACAGGTAGTGTAAAAATTAACCAATATCTCAAAATTTTGATTATGAAACCACCTTTTGGCTTCTAACAAAAAAAATTCCTTGGAAATTTTTGGTATAAACTAATCTTTGCTCCAATCCCAAACCTACTCTTACCCTAACCATAAGCAAGGATTTAATTTTTTATTTATTAAAGTTGTTTTGATTAATATATTACACAAAATTTGTAATTCAATAAGTGTACGTATAAACACTACGTGTAAATTAATAAATTTTCTATTATATTATAGATTTATATTAAATTAATTAAAATATTCTCCGGTACTCGTGGGTACTAGGGGAAAACACTAGCTAGTTTTTATATATTCTAAGCATGGTTTTGCTGGACAACAACCCAAATAATGTAATTTATATCGATATTCGTACCGTAACACGAACAGAAAAATGTAAAGCATGATCAGTTAGTTACACTTAAACGTTAGTACATCGTTATTTCTATAATAAACTTAGTACGTATGTACGTACGTACGTACTTGCGTTCATACTTTCTCCACTATGGATAATACAATCAATTTACTTCAAGATAGTACTGAAATTAGTGTTAGCATTAAAATAGTCACTGGTAATACTTCAATTTGAAATATGGATCCTTTGTACATGAATTGCCCAAAGATGCAAAGGGTTCAAATTGCTTTTTTTTAGACAAAAATCATAATCAAATTTTGCCTTCAATGAATCAAACACTAAACTAGATGAGATATTACAACCTTCCGATAATGAAACAATTTTGTATATAAGGCAAACAAAAGTTTATGACTGGACTCAGCTAATTATGAAATGCGAGCATGGATTTACATTCGACGAAGATAATATATCCATCAAAGATGCCTCTGAATCTGCATTTAAGATCAATGTAAACAAAATTCGAAAATATTTATTAAATAATCATTCTGAAGAAGAAAAAGAGTGCAAACATAACCTTGAAGCTTTTTGCAAAAGGAATCTCATATTAGGTGGAAATGTTTTAGCAAGTTCTCTTTGGCTTTCTACGCCTCTTGGACTATCACATGAGGTATCTAAACAAATGCTTAGCCATCTTGAAAAATATACTAAATGTTCTCATCAAAAGTGGGAAAAGGCATTAATTGTCCTTCAAGAATCATGTATCTCACCAACTGAAGAATTTATTAAAGCTGTTGAAAATGCATTGGCTATGGGCACTGATAACAAAAAACTCAAAAAACTTCGAGAGATTTCAAAAAAATATGGCCAATTCTACGCACGCCGTTTCGTATTTGGAGGGGCGATAGTTAAAATATACACCAGCAATTCAAGTAAATATTATTATCATCAATAAACTGACTTATTTAAAATATTATCATTAATTTATTACGCTATTATAGATGAAAGCTCAAAAACTAAAACAATTGATTCAAAAAATAAGATCGGTCTTTCTGCACAGAGCGTTGCCAATGCTGATGTAAATTTAAATATTTTTCGTAGAACTGAGAAAAAAACAAAAGTATTCAACTATCACTCAAATATAAGAACTGTCGGCGGAATTACAGAAAAATATAATAATAAAGACGATTCTATAAAACCTTGGCTAGACTCTCTAAAAGATCATACCACTTGGGATGTAATTGAATATGATGAAATTGGGTTGATATTTGATTTATTGGATGATAGATTGCGAAAACAAATCTTTGACGTATTAGGTTACCCAATCTTAAAAGGTATGTGATAAATTAATCAAACTATAGTGCTTTTCAAATTACTGTGATAAGCAAATTCCATATATCTCTAATGCTGTAATGTATAATTCATATTTTGCAAAATAATAATAATAATAATAGCGCATGTTGACTGGATAAATTTTGATGTTTCAAAGTCATATAATTATCCATTGAGCACATATATTGGAGATTTAGAAGATATAAAAATAAGAGAATGCCAGATTTACGCATCGATCATGAGTGAAGATGAGTGTATTTTTTTTTTCATGTGGATTATGTAGACGAAGAAACACCTAATTATTGTTCACTTAATTCAGAATAAAGCTGAAAAACAATATCTAACACTTAAACTTTGTTGGATTATTGTTGGTCTACCTGCGTATTTCAATTTTGATTCAATTAACTATCCCATTATACTTAAAAGAGAAATATTTTAAATTCGAAGAAAAAGATCATTATATTATAGAAAATACCGAGGCTTCAATATTATCTGAATCCTGTATATTATGTACTTGTGTATTAGAACCAGATATAATAACTAATAAAGACTCAAGTTCAGCAACTGATAACTTTGCTACCATATCAAATTCAGTAACCGATAACTCTGCTATCATATCGGGAACAAATTCAGTAATCGATAAATCTGCTGCCATATCCGGATCAAACTCAGCAATTAATAACCATGCTCTGACAAAAGCTATTAAAGACATTTCATCCATTATTATTGGTACTCATATAGCACTTCATAAACATTCTGCATGCTTATTCGCATATGACACCAAAGAAAGGAACAAAGTGATAGATAAAAATATCTTACAAAGATTATCACTATATGCTTGGTAAGAAAAATATGTCTTTTCGAATAATTAAATAATATTAGCTGCTTACATAACTTTTCACTATTATCTAATTTATTAATGAACAGTGTTGTAGATACAAATGTCTCTCTTGATACATATAACTCTAGTCAAACTGGTGCAAATATCTCTCTTGAAGCATGCAGTTTTGGCCAAAAAGAAGTTACGTGGCGTAAGAGCAGAACTCATAATAAAATATCTTATAGTCAAAAAAATATTTTTCAAAAAAATGCTTTGTTCACCAAAGAGCAAACTTCTAAAAATTTGATCTTTGTAAATCAATTTTTTAATTATTGTTTCGAAAATGGATCTGAACATTGTCAATTTCATGGGTCTGTTAATGTTAAATCTGATGAGGTTATTTATGGATCATTCAATTCTAAATCTTTGAATAACATTGAAGGAAAATTTTCTTAGTTAATAGTCCCTCCAATTCCTATATAATTCATTGAACGATATTATGTCACATTTACTTATTTTGATTTTATTATTCCTATACGTTTAGACGGATATTCATTTACAAAAAAGTTATATAATATGAAATTTTTTGTAGTTTATAATTTTAGTCAATCAAATTGTAAAATTCTTGATCTATGATGTAGATAAAAATTTAAAATTATTCGATTAAAATAAAGTAAAAATTTTATTCATTATTCAGTAAAGTAGTTTATGCAATTAACTTTAGTAACCAACTTGGTGTTGAAAATTCGAATGCGCGGATCCAATCAAATTGCTTGATTTCAGAAATCAAGCAATTTGATTGGATCCGCACATTCGAATTTTCAACACTGGTCTGAGTTTTACATTTCATTATACAGAATATTCATTTAAAAAGTGGGGTTTTTGCCTTGAAAATGACCTTACGGTACATGATACTGTAAGGTCATTTTCAAGGCAAAGACCCCAAGTATTCATCTATACAGATTTGACTATATTTTTTTTTAAACTTATTTTGTAATATTATTCGAAATTTTAGTTTTAATTAATGGATGTTTTATCATTTAAATTTAAATTTTTCGCCTTAATCATATATTTCTAGATTGTCAAATCTAATATTTGGAATGATAAAATTGAATCAAAATTGAAATTTGAGGTTATTTTAATTATGTGGATGTAAATAAAATAATATAAAATCACTAGTTTTTTAAATACAAAATAAAATTTTATTAGACAGGACTATTTTACAGACTTTTCTATGAGCATGATATCTAATATTAAAAATGACGTAATTTCGATTCGGTCAAAAATTTGAGCGCCGAAATAACCTTTCATCCATTAAGCTTTCGTCATCATCGAGCACCGATCAAAGCTAAATTTGTTTTGATAATGATAAAAAATTTTTGGATTAATCATAAATATGAAAAAAAAACGATAAAATTTAATGTAATCCTAAATTTTTTATATATGGGGTGCCAGTAGAAACCAAGTAAATTATTTCTAAGTAAATTTTTTTTAAAGCTTTAAAATAAAATATCTTAACAACTATCAAACCAAACTTGATAAAATTTTTTTTTATTTTAATTCTAAGTATTATATAGAATTAAAAAAAAAATTGATCAAGTTTGTTTAATAGTTGTTGAGATATTTGATTTAAAATTTTAAAAAAACTCACTAAAAACAATTTGCTTGGTTTCTTCTAGCATCCCCATATGTTTTTGATATTTAAAAAACTCAATGATCGAAATTCTGGAGTTTGTGATTAAACAATGCTCGAAAACTCATCGATTCCAATCTCTACATATAATTTTTGGGGTAAAAACGCGACTTTTGCTAAGATTATTGGGTATCTGCGAACGCCTTATGGCGTAAGTGATAAGTAAACAATGTCCTAGAAGCCTCGTATTAAAGTTTAAAACCAGCTTTATCTTTCATATATTAAACCTGATTAAACTCGATCTCAAATAAGTTTTTAAAAATTATAGATTTATAGACAATTGATTTTGTGAGTTGAGCTAGGCAAGACAACAATATCTAAATTTTTCAGTAGACATGAAAGCATTTTTACATCATAAAGTTAATGTCGAATTCATAAATTTATTTCACTATATATTTTTTTCTTCTGACTCATCGTTTTATTGCTTCGAAAACAGGATTTTGAAGTTAGTTTACATCGCATTATCTATTTCAATAATAAAAAAAAGCTTACGTCTAATAAAAGCGATCCAACCCTCGGATTACAGAGATTATCATCAGGAAAATTTAAAACTTGATTATAATCAGTTGCAAGCGATTAATCAATTATAATCGATTTATTTGCGGTTTGCAAAAAATGTGAAATTTGCAGATTATTGCGCTTTGCAAAAAAATGTGACCTCTGCAGATCATAGTGTCGCGTGAAAATCAGAGATTCTGTAGATTTTAAGAATCTTATCGATTTCAAATAAATATAAATATAGCTTATCGAAAATATGAATTAATAGACAAGGAAATTTTCCTTTTTCATCATCACAAAAATCATTGGGTCACATCTTTTTGCAAAGCGCTATAAAAAAGATGATTTCTGATCGATTTTTTTTAACATTATTTCTGATGACGTATGTACATAAACTAATATTATTAAATACTTATTGTTATATAATATATATTTATTTAACATAAATTTTTTTAAAAAAAAAACATTTATAATGATAAAATTATTATCCCGGAACATTCTTTGGATGCACAAAGTGTCTACTAAAATTTATTGTAATGAGAAACATATATATTCCAATAAAAAAAAATACCAAAGTTCCTTATGTTTTTACTTTGAAATTCCATGATTCTATTAGTAATAAATAAATAAATTTTCTAGTATTAGTAATATTATTACTTCTGATACACTATATATTAAATATAATAATTAAAAGATTTTATAATTAATATTTTATTTGATTAATTCAATTTAAAAATAAAGTTTTGGGAATATATATATTATAATTTTGAATAAAAAAGATAAATATATTATATTTTAATAAATTTTTTTTTAATTTAATTATTTATTTTTATATAAATTTATTATATGAATATTTAAAAAATCATAACTTTTGATCCACTGATCCAATTTAAATGATTTAACTATCAAAATGATGGGATTAGTAAAGATTTGTATTATATATAAATCTTTATCGATCTCATGCTCACGTCATTAGATTTTAATGATTTTAGGTTTATTAGAATACTCTCACTAAGAGGATCATTTTGATAGTTAAAACATTTAAATCGGATCAGTGGATCAAAAGTCATGTATTTTTAAAAATTATATATTATTAAAATAATCATTTATTATAAAACGCACCTATGGTGGTTTTGCACCTATCATATGTTTTATTATGTTTTCTAGATTTTTCTAAGTTTTGAATATAAAAATT